TTCTTTCTTTCTTTCTTTCTTTCTTTCTTTCTTTCTTTCTTTCTTTCTTGGTAACACCTGGCGATGCACAGGGGCTGCTCCTGGCTCTGCACTCAGGAATTACTTCTGGCGGTGCTCTGGGGACCATATGGAATGCTGGGAATCGAACCCAGGTCGGCTGCCTGCAAGACAAAGGCCCTACCTGCTGTGCTATGGCTCCCGCCCCCTAGGAACCATTTCTTAAAGGATCAGCAGTTCTCAGCCCTTCTCTGAACATGTCCTAGGCTAGCTTCTTGAACTGTGGGTCATGACCCATCCTGTGAAACAATAAAATAAATATTTTTAAAATTTATTTATGATTTATCGTCAGTAAATGTTTCGGTGGCATACCGATTTTATATACCTTTCTACTGGAGATTGTCTAAAAGTTTCTTGGGAGAAAAAGCAGTTGTGAGTGGAAAAAGTTAAGAAGCCCTGACCTTACCTATAGCACCCCTTCCTAACTTTACCTGAGAGAGAAGAGTTCCAAGATCTTCAGTGGAAATTTGAAACTGCACATACAGTACTTGATCCTCCGTACACTCTACCCCCACCCAGATATACATACCTACAGAACTTTTAATTTAAAAATCAAGCATGCTGAGATTAGCAATAGTAATTATAATAAAACAGAAGAATTAAAAGTTCACATGAACTCTCTCACTCTCAAAATATCTTCTAGTCTGGAATCTTGGAGCCTCAGTTGACCACAGGTAATTGAAATCATGGAAAGCAGAACTGCCCAAGAAGTGGAGAACTACCCGTTGCTTGAGTGATTGGTTCCTTTAATGAATTCCCATAATATCCATATTCCATATTCTTTTTTTTTTGCATCTGCCATGAGACCTCTTTATCCTTTATTACATTTTTTAGTGCCAGGATGTAACTATAGGGTAATTTATTTTGTGTGCAAAGGCTCCTCTGTGTCCCTTTGTGCCCCAGAGCCTGGCTATGTGTCTCACACAGAGGAAATATGACATGCTTATACTAATGAAAATCTGTAGGAATAAAATTCACTCTTTTGAGCCCTGCTCATCTCCTTTTGGAAATGTCTTATCCCCATTAATGCGTTTCTTTTCCTCCCACTGAAACTACATATGATGCTTATTAACCACTTGATAACCTGATAAAACAAAGCTATCTTTTAACAATGTTTTCAAAATTGTTATTATCTATACTTTCCTGTGCCTTTGTGAAAAAAAAAATTCTCATCTAACAGTCAGAAAATCTGAAGGCCATTCTGTTTCTCTGTTGGTTTCTACATTTGATCATAGAGAAAATCGACTGATTTGAAACTCAGTTTCTTTATTGAAGCAGTACTAATGACAGGTCCTATTGTATTATGAAGTTAATTATGAAGAAAAACAAATTAATATACACAAGTGACTGCACATATGGCTAGCCTGGTTTACTCAGAAAAGTATAATCCTTACTGGCTTGGTGATTTGATAAAATATATTGTAGGTACTACCTATTATTAGCGTTTATTTTAAAAGAGATTTATTGAAAAGCAGAGTTTTCATTTGGAAGAATGTTATTAAGATAAAAAGGAGTTACTTGGGAACAGAAAGCTTTGCTTATTTTGATCTTAAATTCAATCTCAATGTCATTCAATAAATATTTGTTGAATATTTATTATGTACAGAAGATCCTGGTGCTATATGGGAAGGATAAAGAAGAGAAGAGCATTTATTCTCAGGTCCTCTAGGAAAATCTAATATAATAAGAGACTAATACATATCAATTAACTCTAACCCAAGGTAGGATGGTAAAAATCTATAGAAGAGCTACCTTTAAAAGAGACTGCTTCTGACGGCATCCATCAGAGGTTTATCTTTTTGAATAGGATATGCATTCAATTAAGACATAAATGTTAAAAGAATTTCGATACACGGGGATGAAGGGGGGTTCTTTTTTTAAAAGTGAGAATAACAGCGTCGGATAAGTCACACACACGCAAAAAATACAAAGCATATTCTGGAACTGGCAAATGGAATTTACCCTTGAATTTTCAGAGTGCTTTATAGTTTTCAAAGTGCTTTCACGTATATTATTCAGAATTAGAGCAATCATGTGGAAGTTTATAAGAAAGGTATGTTTTATTTTATATTATCAAGGCAGAATTTAAAGATAAAGGAGAAATGGCTTTTATAAAGTTCACAATAAAAACTGCTAAGGAAGAAATCATTGTTAAGAAATCATCTGGTAACAGCAAGAAAAGGGAAGTGCAGAGAGAAGGTAATTGGACGTTACTGCAAGTTTCTGACAAAACCTAGGTGATTGGACCAAGAGTCTACAGTGGGTCTCTCTCGTTGCAATGATTCTCTTTAGAGATGATGCAGATTCACAATGTATATGACTTGACTCTTACTGAGATGTAAGGAGAGAGAACAAATGGAAGCAGTAAAAGACTGATCATATACAAAGAGAGTCTTGCTTGGCCTTCAAGATGATATCAATAAAGTCTCTTAATGGAATCATATTACTCCCAGCTCTTATTCAGAATATTGGAGAATAGTAAGCCTAATTCTAATTAAAAATTATTCTTGATCCAAATATAGTCCGGTACAAAACACCTGAAAGGAAATGAGAAGTCCATGATAAAAGGACCAAATTGATAAGGACTGTAATTTTTATAAGTATCCTCACTAGCAAATTATATTCCTCCTCTCCAAGAGAGGAAGAAGAATAATTCTCCAACACTACCCCTTTGTTATGGGCTTTACTTCAAGATTTGATTTTTTTTTGAGGCCACACCCTGTGGTGCTCAGGTTTTACTCCTGGCTCTGCCCTCAGGGATCACTCCTGTCAAACCTTGGGGTGCCAGATTGAACCTGAATCAGCTGCCTGCATGGCCAGCTCCCTACCCTTTGTACACTCTCTGCAGCTCCTTCATGACTGGAATTTAATCAGGGAAAGTAGGGGTGCTTACCAGCAAGAACTTGTTCTTCATGCATGTATTTTTCAGAACGCCTTATTCTTGGCTGACCTTTTCTGTCTCTCCAGTCAAAAGAAGGTTTTCATTAACTGTTTATTTAACATAAAACCAAGTCCAGTTATGGGCATAAGGGACACAGCAAAAACCAGGCTCCGTGGAAAGATTCCCAGAGGTTAATGTGTAACCCCCAAGGTTGGATACTGTTTAATAATACTATCTCAGCTTTATAAGGAAGGCCCAAACCTTCACCCAGAGGGGAAATCATGCAACCACTTAGAGCAGAAGGACTGTTTTCCAGACTGGACTTTTTTTTTTGCCCTTGTTCTGTTTTCTTTTCTATTTTTTATTTCCATTTACTTATTTTCTCAGCAAACCCTATATAAACCTCTAGCCCCAACCTGGGAGGTTGTGGGGAAAAGTCTATCAGATTTTCATACGGCAAACACCCTAAGTCTCTCCTCTGCAAACACACACACACACACACACACACACACACACCCTCATCTCCTGAATAAATGGCCTTTGAGCAGTGAGAACTGAATTTGGGTTCAGTAACAATAGCAATATGGATGTGTTAGTCACACTGAAGGGCATTGCAGCCTTCTTGGTGCCTTCTCTCTTGGGTCACATGTTCTGCTGTAAACCAGCTGCCACTCATGAGAACAGCGAAGCTGACCTATGGAGGGATTCATAAACTAAGAAATTGAGATTTCTGCCAGCAGTCAAGCAACTGAATCCTAAGAATGGACCAAATGCAATGTAAAAATATGGAAAACAGGGAGCCTTGATCCAGCTATTAATGAAAGTACTATTTTGGAGTCTTGAGCCTGGGAAATGAAAGCAGAGTACTAGCTAAGGCTGTTGAGCACCAGGTCCCACTCATGCTCAGGCATGCCCAGACAAGTTCAGACACATCCACCTCCAGGAAGGAGCTGAAAGCCACAGAACTGACACTTGGTCAGTGTTGATCAACTAACTTCCCACCTAATTTGCATGAGTTCACATCAGTCTCCATTGTGGCCTAATTTACATAAAAGGTGCCCAATGGGCACTTGGTGGACAACTAATTCGAATTTGAATAGCTGACCAAAGTGAGAATTCTCCTGCCCTTTCTACATGAATATAAATCTTGCACTTCCAGTTCAGAGTAAACACTCTGGATTTAGTCCCAAATCTCACTAAGAGAAACAAAACAAAACAAAACAAAAAACAACCCTACCACAGCCAGGCATATCAGAACATGACTCAAGGAAATCTTTGGATTCATGTCTCTCTGGGTGCAGTCCTAAGAAAACTTCAAATGAATGCCTATATTTTGCTTCAACCACCTTGTTCATTTTGATAGAACACGTTTGACCTCTGACTTTACCCATCCACAAAAACACAATGCTTTTCAGAGTCTTTAATTCAAGTCTGCACTACATACTGTACTTGAATCGCGCGTGTGTCATGCGAATATCTGGTTTAACTAAAGCATGGTTGATGCACAGACCAAATCCCTTATGGGCAGATATGCTGTATTTTAATTTAAAAAAATTCTTTACTAGCTAAATTATGCATACATGCCTCGTTGTATACATTTGAAAAGTTACGGAACCCTGCCTTTTCTTATAGTAATTTCATCTCTGGGCATGCTGTATACCAGAATGAGAGGGTGAATGCGGCTGGGCTCAGGTAACCATCTAAAACTGAGGAGCATTTAATACAGACTCGGGAATAAAATTCACTCAACTCATCCAAGTATAACCTCACATCCGGACCCTGACCAGGAGCCACTGCGCTTGCGCTGTAGGGGTTCGCGCCGCACCCAGAGAGCTGCCGAGCTGGGCCTGGGCGGGCCCGGGGCGGGACCTGGGCGGGGACTGGGCGTGTCTAGCGGGGGAAGTGGGCGTGTCTGGGGGCGTGTCCGGGGCGGGGGCGGGGGAGCGCGGGTTTTTTGACCTTCGTGTTCGCGGAATTAGGTTCCAGCTCAGACGTTAATCTGCACGTCTGTTTGTCTTCTGGTTCCTGCTCCTCCTCGGAGTCTACAGTGCCGGCTCGAAAGATGGTGGAAGGACCCGGCTGTACCCTAAATGGAGAGAAAATTCGCGCTCGGGTGCTCCCGGGTCAAGCAGTGATGGGCGTGCGGGGAAGCGCTCTGCAGAGCCTGGCGGGGCCCGCGGCGCCTCCTGCAGCCCCAGCTGCTGAAGCTTCTGCCCAGGTGAGCTGTTTCTCTAACTTGCTATAAGGCTGACACGGGAAAATGCGATCAAGCCCACAGGAACGTCCGTATTGCCATCTTCTTTGCTCGGTTTCCGTTCCCTGGCGTCAAAGTTTATCCTGACTTGACACGAGGCAGAAGTTGTCCTAGCGCGCCTGTGTCATTCATTAGTGGCTGCCTGAACAAGGTGCATCTATTTACTCTGTAGCCTCACCTTTACCCCCCCACCCCCCCGCTCCCATTTACATTACAAGATAATAGCTTTTGGTATTACATTCTAACTTCTCACTTGTCTGATATTCCACAAGTGATTAAGGTATAACAATATGTAATTTTTTTAAAAGATGTTAATTCTTTTCTCTGAACATGGGGAATTTAGCATTAACCTTTCCACTCAATATTGCCATTTACAGAAATGGTATGAAACCTAGTTCTGATTCTCTTAAGTGGATGTACTTAAATTGTAACACAGCTTCTTACCACTCAAGCATTCTTTGCCGGAGGCGTGTTATTCATTTGGCATGAATTTAAAACTTGTACTAAAATATTTTTGATTAAGCCCTTATGCTTTAAAAGCCCTTTTGAGGCGTGGATGATTGTATTTCCTAGTGCATGCAATATTTTACTGTACTTCAATTTCACCTGCAAAGCTCCCTCAGAGCCTTTGGTCCTAGAAGGAAAAAATTCTTTGCTGTGAAATTAGCATATGCTTACAACTCCAAAGAAATAAAGCGATTAGTCAAAAAAAATTTCAAACTTGGAAAATATACATTTTTCATCCCCTTTCATTTTTTTAAAAAAAATGGCCTATGTGTCACTAAGTTCTCTGCACCTATTATTTTATTATAGGTGTTTCTCAAAATTGTTGCAAGGAACCATAGAGTTGGATTTTGAGCCGTCTCAGGAATATTGTTTGTTTTAAAAAATCTCTTATTCAGCAAAATTTTGAAAACTCGGCACCGGGAGAGCAAAAAAACCCCAAATGGTTCTCCCCCTTTTAGAGTCTGTACTTTAGTTGGGAAGTTACATAGGCGTTCATTTAACAGTAATATATGTGCAAGCTGATCATTTTTTGAAGGAAAGATTCCTGAGACTGCCGACACATAGGCAGGTCAGGGGAGGTGTCCCTGGGAAGTAAAATTGAAGCTGAGTTTTGAAGGGTGAGAAACATTATCTAAAGAAAGAAATCTTCATGCATGGAAAAGGGGGAAGGGAATCCTGGGATTTTCAATGATGGGTATGCAGTTGTAAAACAGGTTCTAGGAAAGGTTGAAAACACAGAGCTAGACCAGGGAGCGGTTTGCTAATGATTTTCAAAATAAAAGGGACTCTCTGAAGTGTTAAAAGATTCATTTATGCTTTGAGAAAATCACTTACACTGGATGGAAAAAATATAAGACTGGAGGAAAGGCAGAGTATATTGTTTGTGGTCCCTCGTAGTAGCTGACTACACTAATCCAGGAGAGAGGCTTCCATGGGATTAATTGTACCTTAATCCAAGGCGGGAGGTATGGAGCATGGTGACGGGCACTGGAGTAGACAAGACCTGACCTTGCAAAGCAGTCCTGAAGTGAGACCTGAAGGAAGGGAGTATCTGGGCAAAGTTGGCAAGAATAGAGTGTCAACACCAGGCATATAGCCTCGAGCTTCACTCAGCCTCCTAGTCCTATGAGCCCAAGACATAGAAATGGTCACATGCACTTAGCAAGTCATCCTAACCGCAGCCTCAGGGCAGTGCAGAGTAGGAAAGGTAATAGGCCCATAACACTAAACTATGTGTGATTGGACCTTCCTGTAAGCTGAGACCCTCTATAAAATCTGTGTGTATTTGGCAATATAGTGAACAGTCATCAGCTGCTCCCAGAGTATGTTTCTTCAAGCACCCAAAATCGTTACCCCAACATCTGCCCAGGATCCGGTGTGCAACATGTCCGGGCACCTTGGGGGAAAAACTGTTCCCCAACAAGGAGGACTGAGAGTAATAAATAGGGGAGAACATCATTCTTTCACAAATCTAAGCAAAAGGGTTTGGCAGTGAGAGGCCTTGAGTGTTTATGTCAGAATTTCCATCATTCAACAATAATGTATTTCACCTTACTTTATATGCAAGCTCCAGGAGATGCACAATGAATGATATTCCTGCTGAGAGAATCCATCTTAATGTTGTAAAGAAGTTTCATCTCACTAGTGTTCAGGCCAAAATAGATTTCCTTTTAAGTTTGTTGTGATTATCTTCAGTTCTGGGGCCTGTAATGCCTTTGAAGAACTTTTTACATTTCTTTTAGTTACAAGAGCAAAATAATGCCATGATCGAGGATTTATGCAACTGCGCAAATGGGGACTGTGTGGTTGAGAGTGAGTTTAAAGAAGTGAGATGATAATCAGGTGTTCTGCCATGGTTTCAGCACTCTTCACTCTGGTTCCAAAAGCTGGCCTTCCTCTAAACTGCACAGGATTCCATAGAAAATTGCCTAATACAATCTTAGGAAGACTGTATTGCTCAACATGATGATATGTTAAATAGGAAAGTAAGACCTTGGGTTTAGGGCTGTCTCTCCGTTTATGGCTTCTCCTGAGTTTTGTTCAGTTTTCCAACCCACTCCTATCATTTTTTTCAAAATTATCGGCCCCAGTTCTCAAGTTCAGATTGCGCAATAGAAAGCTAGCCATTTTATGTGCTGCAAATGCTTTATTAATGTTGGTGCAGTTATAGATATCAACGTGAATAAAACTTAAAAACCTCTCCCCCCACGAATTAAGCTCTTGCGTTTGATAGTTTGACATATTGGAAACTGAAATAGGTTATTGTGATTGGGAAAAGGAATATGATTCTGTGGAAACTGGATTTAAAAAGTAATATGGGATACATACATCTATTGGTAAAGTTTTAGTTTTTCAGGAGACAGAATGATGGGCCAGTGAGAGCACAGTGGATAGGCTGCTTGCCTTGCACAAGCCTCTGGCCTGAAGCTCAGCTACAGGCCAAATGAATCCTAAGCAGCCCCTACTTCTCCTAGGCACCACGTTGGGGCGTGGCCTGCAGTGTGGTGTCATGTACAGGGCACGGTGGGCTGGGAGAGGAGGAGGGGATGCGGCCCGCATGTGCAGTTGCTCTGCTCAGCCTGCTATGATTCCCTGTCCAACCCCTCACCCATCAATCTGCATTGTCCTGTGAGAAGGGTGGTCTGTGTCCTGGCCACCTGGCACAGCAAGTGGTGGTGCTGCCTCCTCCCAGGTCTGGGCCTTCCAGAACGAGCGAGAGGTTCTGGAGGAGAGCCAAAGTCAGCCAAAGTCACTCCCAGCAGCCGGTGTTGGTGCTAGGTCCCAAGTTTTCCGTCCATCGGTCCCTGCAAGTGGGTGCCAGGTGGTGGTTAACCAGATTCTGAGGATTCTGAGGTGGGAGGAGAGCCTAGACCCCCAAGGCCCGGGGATTCAAGGAACTTCCAAGAGACCAGTGTGATGTTGCGTGGCCCAGAGGTGCAGTCGCCTGTGGGATCTGAGTTTTCCCAGCCTTTGGGACCTGCAAGTTGGGAGTGGGGTGCTTATGGTGTTAGGTCTTCTATGGGCCGGATCTTATTTCCCACGGCCTGGCTGACTAGTGAGATGGTGCTCTTGTGGGGGGGGGGGGGAATAGGTCAGAGCTCTGAAGCGCTTGCATAGTGTGACGCAGCTCCAGGTTGGATCTCTGGCAATGCCAGGGTCACCCCCCACCCTCTCACCCCAACCCCAGTCACAAAGGTGTGACCCATAAGCAGGGTGTATGGGCAAAGATCACTCCTTGAGCTAGTCAATAGCAAGCCTGCATGTGATGTGTATTCTCTCTATGGGTTTTCAACCTGGCTTCTTTCTTTCTTTCTTTCTTTCTTTCTTTCTTTCTTTCTTTCTACCATTTTGTTTGGGTTGGGAGTGTTGTTGCTGGTCTTTTTTGGCTCAGAGGTGTAAAACTGATTTCAAAAGCCAAAAGGGGCTGGGGTGATAGTACAGAGGGCAGGGAATTTGCCGTGCATGTGGCCGAACCAAGTTCTACACACATAGGCACTGTCTGTGGTCCCCCAAGCACGTCCAGGAGGGATCCCTGATGCAAAGCCAGGAGTAAACCCTCAGCTCTTCAGCTGTGGCTACCAAACAAACAAAATCTCTAAATCACCACAAGGGGCAGGAAAGGTAGTACATGAGGTTAAATCACTTGGCTTGATACAAGTTGGATTCTCAGCACCATGGAGCTCCCGATCTGCCCTAAAGACACGGACACAATTTTTTTTTTTAAATGATACTTTGCATGATTACACTTTGCCCAGAAGAATTGGATCACAATTTTTTTAAAAATTGTAAATAAGAAGGTTCTTTACATTTTAAAGGTATGTTAAGTCCACTGTAAATTTCCCCAAAACATGGTAGGATCTCTGCCATCACAATTTCTATGATAGATTGCCCCGTGTCCTACGCGTTTTATTTATCCCAGAGAATTGAAGTTATTTCAATGATTCTGCTACTGGGTGAAAATCATTAGTCTTCACACGGCCAGCTTTAAAACTTTAAAAGTAATTGTACATCTTTTGTTCTGGTTGGGTTTAGATGATAGGTTTTGGCTTTTTTGGGCAGGGAGAGGGGCGGGTCACACTCGGCAATATACAGGGGTGACTCCTGGCTTTGCACTCAGGACTTTCTCCTGGCAGTTCTCAAGGAAACCCATGGGATGCTGGGAATCGAACCTGGGTCAGCTGCATGCAAGGCAAATGCCCTACCTGCTATACTATCTAGCTCCAGCTCCGACGATAGGTTTTGGGATACAGACATCGCAGCATCCTCCTGTGTTCCGTTATGTTCATCACCTAAAGTTCAGTCATGTTGCAGTCAACAGGAACAAATGAAATAATAAAGAGAATATTCAGTCAGCATTTAAAGAAATGACATCGACTTTTAACGAGCAAGCACTGTGTCTTTGAACCTGTCCTCAAAATACTGTCCCTATCACAATGAGTTTGTAACACAGCGTTTCT